ATTTTAAATCAACACAAAGTAGCAAACCTTGAATTAAAAAAAAAAAAAATCACACAGTATGAACCTTGTCAAAATTCTGTTATGTTCAACAAAGTTTTCATGCTAGGATATTCTATAAATAATTCTTCTTCCTGGAAAGAGTGCTCTATTCTAGGATTTCTTTAATCGCACTTTAGACATAATTGAAATTTACCTACCCTGCTTGTGCAAGTAATCATGAGCTACTTCCATAAAACCTAAACTGTTCTGGATATAAACGAGTTACCAAAAGTCACGTACACAGTCACATCTGCACACTGGCATTGCTATGCAAGGCTGGCAGTAAACATTAACATTGGCTCACAAAATTAATACAGGCCTGCAGTCTGATAACTTCTAGACCTGACCTGATTTTTATCAGGTTATGGCTGAAGAAGTTTAATTAAAACTCAATCCAGTCTAGACTGGGTCCTGTTCTTCATGCTATTACTGTTCAGTAGCATAAAATGCATCGTAATTATATGTAGGAAAGACAAGTAAGGATGTCAACAACATGTTTAAGGTTTATACAATTTTTAAAGCTCAAACGTAAGTTATATTTCCAAGTTTTATAAGGCTTGGGGGAATCTATCAAGCCATCAATAATTAGGTAGTTTCTGAATGGAAATATACTCTATGAAAATAGTGTTATATCATCTAGTTTTCACATAAAATGAAAAATTATCAATTTGTATATGAAATTTAGATAAGCCTAATTCAGATAAGTCAAAAACTATGATAATTTAGATAGGGACTGGGGCTAGTTTTCCTTTTTTAAAAAAAGTTGTGCTATAAGAGTCATATAAATAAAATTACAGGAAGAATCATGTCCCAAAGTTCTTCAGTACTTTTTGAGTACACTCAAAAACTTAGAATACTTATAAAAATCAATATGCTAATCATACACTTCAGATAACTACATCTAGTTAGTACAACCAACTAGTTCAAATAATTAAACTAAGAAACATTTAGTTAAGACAACTTTATGCCACTCTAAGACTTGAAAGCAATACATCCATTTATTACTTAACTACTCAAGATATTTCATTAATTCAGGCTGTTCTTCCCCAGATGAAAGGGAGTATACAATAGAGAGCATTGATCACTGCTGAATATTTGAATGGCATTAAAGCTTTATAAAGAACCTTTCAGTCATGCTTCCTCATCTGGAAAATGGTAAAAATACTTTTTCTTGTGACCTCACAAGGTTACTGTAATAGTAAGTTAACAGATATGGAGGGTCTCTGAATTGAAAAATCACTATAAAAATATATGGAACACTTCACTCAAATTAGCAGTGTTTGCTCCACGCCAAGCGGACATGATGTTTTACCATGTTTGGCTTTCTGGTTGATTTTTGTCATTTGTATTCCAGAGGGTAGCTGTATTTAGAAAAATATTCAAGTAGATACCTTCCAAATGCCTCATACCAAACCAAAGTAGAACATTAACACTAGTATAAAAACTTTAAATACATAAAAAGTGAACACAAATCATATGAAAAGGCAACAAAGAAAGAACTTTAAAGCTCAGAGTTACCTTAGAGGTCTTTTAATCTATTCTCCCATTTCAGGGATTACAAAAATGAGGCCCAACATAGGATGCAACTTACCAACAGATTGCACATATCCCTCATCCAGAGTTTGTAATAGAGTCTTTGAGAACTACTATTAAAATAAGTTACATTCCCTATTTTAAAAGCCACAGGGTGGGGCCGGCCCGGTGGCGCACTGGAGAGTGCACCGCTTGAGAGCGCGGCGGCGTTCCCGGCGAGGGTTTGGATCCCATATAGAGACCGGTTCCCGCTCACTGGCTGAGCGCGGTGTGGGTGCAACACCGAGGGTTGCGATCCCATTACCGGTCAGTAAAAAAGACAAAAAGGGGAAAAAAAAAAAAAGCCACAGGGTGACAGGACCAGGTAAAGAAATGCCAGATTAAAAAGGTTTGGGTCTTTAAAAACGAACAAAATCAGACAAAATTGTGAACGTGTCTAGCATTTAGATATTGAGATTTTGTATCCATTACCAAGATTTAAATTATTAACCAGTGAACAGACAAAGATGTGTTGTCTGTGGCAGACATATTCTGGGCTTTAAATTTTATAAATGGAAGGTGCGGTGCGTACATTAACTCAATATACTACACATTAATAGATGGCACAGATAAAATAGACAAAAAATCTGTAATAGTTGTTTATAATTATTTTCTAGATACTAAAAACCAATTGGTATTCCCTAAGAACAAACTTGCTAGGGAATGAGAAAGAGAGCCCAGAATTATGTAACTGTCATGGACAATCTATTTACAGAAAATGGAGAACTGTCTGTGCGACAAATAGCCAATTCCTTGACATAGAAATACTATTATTTCTGATTAATTTAGGTTCCTGGATTCTCTTTATAGATGGCTAATATCAAGAAATGCAAACACTAGAGGTTCCAAAAGTCTCTCTTTATAGATGTGCTGATTAAAACAAGAACTCAACTTGTAAATGGTTTGCCTCCCTCCCTCCCTGCATATTCAATTTGAGAAGATGTCTGTTCTTACACTGAAAAATAACAGGAATTACATCTCAATATAGTATCCCAAACAAAAGTATTTAGGAAATGTGCACTGACTACAAATTTTGAAAATACGAATCAGTGATATTGACTCATTACCCACAGATCCATAAGCTTGAGTCACTAGACTTAGCTTTTTTTTTTAAACAAGTAATCTTATTTAAGGTTTTTCAGTCATCCATCAATATTAAAAAAGAATAAATGTTGCACTCAAACACCACCACAACCTAATTAAGACAACCAAGGTGCTATGAAACAAGGTGCAGACATAAAATATTCTATTTAGTTCTTAACATCTCATGGGAGGTTAAGTTTTTTTAAATAGTAAATTAATTTGGGCAAAGCAAGGTTAAACAAAGTTATATGGTTTTCTTTCTTTCAAGGAAGGATTTATCACAGTCTTTCATGCTCATATCCATTGTCATACTCAAGGAGGAGAGCAGCATGTAACATTTTCCAAACTTACTCCATGGATTCTTTTTTTCTGCAGGCATCTTATAGGATACACTTCGAAAAATGCTATTCTAGTAACCATATGGACTCCAATTCCATGATATAGTTCAGGACTTAATAATCCTCCAGAATCTTAACTGGAGAAAACTGTTTAAAGCCTAGAACTACCTACCACATCCACAGTTAACCAGTTTACAAGCCTGAACTACAGGAATTTGGGATTAGCAACTGATTCTTTCCCTCTTTGTGCCCATGGGCAACAACACGCCTGCTATGACAATGTTCTAGCCCCTGCTGTGCTGGACCAAGTCTCCTAAAATCTCTCTACAAACCAATTTACTGTGCCACCTAAATTCACAAAATAGTTATGTTTTAAAAACTTAACACATAAAAGAACCAAACCTTTGACCTTTGGTTCTCCTAAAATTCAACAGGTAACTATCAAACCATGGATGTTCATAAATACTAGCAAGAGAAAATAAATTTTTAACTCTCAAAAAACATGATAACCATCCATATAAAATAATTTTGATATGAACAAGGTTCTGCAGTCTGATTTATTAGATTAACAAAGCTAAAGTACTACTAGATTTCTTCCCACTATTTCCCTGGCTTCAAAATTGTGGATACTGTCACTGGGGATAAAAAATCCTATTAGTTCCTTGTTCCTAAGGTCATCCCATTCACAATAAAGCAAACAGTAAGAGGGGTCCCTATTTTTCCCAAAAGATGTACACAGTTGGAGAAGCCAAAATGATGCCATATCTACAATGTACATCAGACTAACACAGCAGGACTGCTTATCCCTGTAAAAATAATCACTAACAAAATTACCCTTTGGTACCACAAGATGGCAATCTTTCAAAGGCTAAACCTTAAACTATCTCAAACTGCGACCCCACCTTCTTTCCCAAATTGGTGTACAAAGATTCCTCTTATTTTGATATTAAGAAGTTGGACTTACAAGTTATCTAACACCATTTTTTAAAAGATTTACACAACAACATGATGTGACACAATGCAAACTCCTGACTCAAAAACTTTAAAAATAGACATGCTTGTCTACCATAAACACAGGGGAAAACTTGGTCTAAAATTCTCATTTGCTCCTTGGTAGAAAACACGTTATTTTTGGCAAAGAGAACCCTGTCAAGGCAATGTAATTTTCTGTTTTCAAGAGCTTAATATTTTTTAGGGTGAGTCAGGTGAATGAGACTGTTAATTACAACATATTAAACACAACAAATGAATAAATACAAATTAGATAAATTACACATAATTTAAAAATTAAATACTTTTACTAAAATAAAATATAATCAATGAGCTATTATCTACCCTGCCATATATAGTTTTTCTAAATCTTAAAAAAGAAAAAAAGAAAACCCTGCACAAAGTAAAACAAACAAACCAAAGATCTGTTTGGTTTTTGCTTAAAAGCACTGGTGTGTGAATACATACATATATATGTATATGAACAACACATATATTTATTCAAGAGAGAATTTTTAAAAATGTTTAAGGCATCCCTGCCTTATCAGGTTCAACAGTGAAAATCATAGCCTATCAAGCTTTGGAAGTACATAAAAGCCCATAGGGCCAGAACAGTGTTTTCAAACTGAATGGCTAGCAACCAAGAAAGGGAACCAGAAAAGATTCAAAAGTTGAGTCAGTCAGCCATTGAGGATTAAACAATGACACTGACGACTAGGGAAGGCAGGGGGAGAGGATGGCATCAATAACAAACTTCAACATGGAATGAAGAATTAGCATTGCAAGATTCAACAGGACACCAGGACCCTAACCCCCTAACCCCCTTACCCCCTCCCCTCTACACAAAATAAAAAATCAAAGATAAGAGTTTTCTTTTAGGGATTATTGATATTTGTCTTGTTTCATCTAACTTTTATCATTCTTGGTGAAGTACAAAAATTAAGAGCCAAAGAGAATTTGAGAAAGGTAGGTTTTGAAGGTATATTGTACAATGACGTAAGTTATGGAAAAGACAAAAATTGTTGCAATCCCAGATTTTCCAATACTAAGTCGAACCTCAAAGGCTCTTAAGATAAGTATATTATGCAGGGAAATCTCAAGATAAAACCCTGAGTTGGTTACAGCTGTAAGGAACCTGGAAACTGTAGTTCCCTGTTACAGAACCACAGCCCTTCTGTTGAACATTAGGCAGTATTTGCAAAAACTGTTAGAAGAACTTAGCTTCTGAAATTTGGGGGGCAGAATTTTATCATTTCAGCATTTAAATGATATCTTACTTATGGGTGTTTTATTTTTCAATCTTCTTGTGCAAGAAAATTGGATGCGTAAACACAGCCTAAAGACTGCTGAAATTTAGGAAGTAAACTGGATTTATCTACACTAAACAGTAAAGCAAGGAGGTGTTGCCAAACCATCCTTAGATTGAGATGGTTCATCAGTGAGGTGTGTTAATCATCTATAGTGAACTCACTGTAAATTAACTATTTTCATTGGTGTTTACCTATTAAAGATACTGCCTGTGTGAATTTATCACAGGCACAAGAGAATTACAGATTTCTACAAGTAAATAAAACGTCAGACTTTTTTTGTTTTCAGTAGTTTCAATGGCATTGAGTGTCCCCTGGAAATATTCATGTCTCTGAACTAGTATTGCAGAATATGTGATATCCAGAAGTAAGATAATAATTTAAAGAATATATCTGATTTTCACAGTGCAATAATAGGATAGAAACTAGGAACAAATTATCAACGGGCTAAAGTAGTAATCAGACTGGCACACATTTCAAAAAAATCCATGGTGTGACTGCCCAGGCGAGGTGAAACTGAAGATAATGTGCTTCCAGTCAAAGAGCCAGTGAGAGAGCCAGAAAGTGAATGGCTCTCTGCAGTTGTAGAATCAAAACTTGATCTTGGTCTGTGTAAACCAGCAGTAGAACAGGATCGCTGAGGTGTTGAGGAACCAGACCTCTGCTCCACTACCTCATCTGAAATAGACCAAAGAAGAACAATTTATGTGAAAGGTATATTTGCCCAAGCCATTCCCATGAAGTTACTATATTCAGAATATTAAGTAAAAGTATCTGAGCAAGGGCAACTTAACAATGAATGCAATGTTTCAGTGTTTTAGGAGTAGAGGTGGCAATGCCTCTTCTCTCCCACAATCATAACAGACATCACTAAACAATCATAACACTTTCACACAGCTAAAATGTAGTTCCTAAATCCTCATCAACTGAGTATTTGGCATTAACATTGAAATCAAACTGATATCACTACATCTCAAGAAAGCACATCCTTGGCAACTTATTTTCTTCTAGCATATCAACAAAAAAAAAAAATCAATACGATAAAAACAAAAGCTGCCATCATACAATGGTTCTGAACGTTTTGTGCACATTGGAACTGCCCTGGGGGAAGGAGCACGCTAGAGAAATCTTGTTAAAAATGAGGAGTCCCAGTTTCCCAGGACCAGTCTCCAGAGATTCTGATCTGGTGAGTCTTGAGTGGTTCCCAAAAATCTGCATTTTAATAAGAACAATGGGTAATTGTAATGAGGGTGGTCTGGGGACCATATAAACACTGCTATAGTTTATGGTAGTTAAAGAATAAAATTTAAATTCTCTGTTTAAAAAAATATCCCTGGGGCCGGCCCAGTGGCGCACTGCTACAGTGCGCCGCTTGGGAAGCGTGGCGGCGCTCCCGCCAAGGGTTCGGATCCCACATACAGACCAGCCGCTCACTGGCTGAGCGAGGTGTGGGCACAACACCGAGGGTTACGATCCCGTTGCCGGTCCCAGTCCGGTACGGGCGCGACACTGAGGGGTTGCGATCCGTTGCCGGTCACGAAAAAAGACAAAAAGGAAAAAAAAATATATATCCCTAACTCTAAACTCAGTTCTATTCTTGTTCCAACCAGCACCTGACCCTTTTGCACTTCACTCATGTGGATTCAATGTAGTACTCAGCATGTGGCTGAGTTTTGCTTTTTTGGAAATTTAAGGAATTTTTTTACCCCAACTTTTTTAATCCAAGATTGGTTGATTCCGTGGATGTGGAACCCATAGATACAGAGGGCCAAGTATTCCTGGATATGATAATTTTCCCTGACTCCCCTAGCTCCTAGATTGCCATGGGTACCTAAACCCAACCCAAATCCCACTAGAGGCCTATTTAGTCATTTTGGCCACCCAGGACGAAGGGGGAAATTTAACATTACAATGCTAATAGTAATAAAATACGAATGGAGAAATATGTCAAGGAACCTGACAAATTGGCTAATTTTAAGTAATGCTTCCCTATTGTTTCTTAGTTTTGCCCCACAGCCAATACTTCAAATGACTTTTTTATGCCAAGGAAGCACTTCTTTCAGAAAGGTGCTGGGTAAGAGATACTCCACGTGTCTTTTATCCTTTTAAGTTTCACTTACATTTTGGATAAGTCTAGATTACTCAAAAACCAGTGTGGAAGACCTACCCACCATGTCTTTGAGATGATTTGAATGTCTGGTCAACTAATAGCAATTTTTGTCCTCTCAGAGCTCATGCCTGCGTAACTTTCTTACCATCGATGCTTTTAAAGTCCAAAAGATAGCTCCTATTGTCAACCAGATAAAGTTGTAAGCTCATTTTCACATAATTGCCAGTCACTGGATTTTTTCTTCTTACACGAAGATGGTATGCATTTACTACCTAAAATGGGAAATCAATAAAAACAACAAACTATAAAATGTCTCCCTTCATATTGCAAAGAATGCTGAAAACAATTAATTGATAAGGTGGGATAAGGAAGGAATTTCTGAATGACTCCTTTTCTATATTACAGGTAATTTACCTTAATATTTATTTAATCCCTACTAACAGTACTGTTTGTATATAGTAATTAAAATTTAAAGGAAACTCAGAAACTGTATACAGTACAGCCTTCACTCCAGGTATGCATCTATTCTAAAACATCAATAATAATTTTGGTTACCCAGCTCTGCTTGAATACATTTACTGATGAATATGGAGTAGAAGAAATAAGGGGGAACTAATATGTTAACGGTTTGCATCATGTACTGTCACAAAATTCAAAGTATTACAATAATCCCAAGAGGAAGATATTATTTGCCTTTTAAAGATAAAATATTGCAGCTCATATAAAGAAAATTCTGGGTTTTCAAAACATATCAAATTCGTTTCAAAAATTTTTCATTAAGAAACTTTAAAGACATTAACATCTCTTTTGTAACTAAATAAAACTGCTTCAGAAAAGGCAGATTTGCTTTTAAAGTGGTTTGAGGAAATATTACTTTATTTATTCATTTCATGTAGAAATAGTGAAATGAAAATGACTACTTTATTCAAATCTGTCAAATGACTACATATGATTAGTTCAAACATTTTTCTTCTTCCTTTAAAAAATATTCACAGTCCTCAAGAAAGGAACAAAAGTGAAAGGGACATCTGAAATGAAAAAATGTTTTTCGTCCCACATATATTCAAGTAGAATTGAAATAAATTTTCTCTAAAATTAGCACTAATTAAAAAAAAAGTAAAATGGGGGCTGAGAGTAAGGAAAACATACCATAACTAAAGACTAAAAGCACCAGTCAAATAAGAGAGAATTTCTCAATTTGGAGAAAAGTATTTATTGGCTGAATAAACATCTCCTGACAGTACAATTTGTATTGACCACTAGCTGTCACAGCTGCCCATCAACCCCCAAAAAAGGGAAGAAAAAAAAAGAGGGAGAAAAAAGTAAAATTGTATTATCTTTGAAGACTCATGGTTTTTTACTGTTATGATGCATGCTGAAACAAGTGGGCTATTTCCTCAGATATTTCAAGTTGATGACTTTTTGTTTCTTAGCCAAGAATGCTATTCTATAATTCAAAATATATAGGTTATACAGGTTCCCAACATCAACGGGTCTTCATCCTTGTACAGGTCTATTTGTTTTGTTTTGAATGAATATGATATATTAATGGAAAGAATGGGGTTTACCAGCCAAAGGTATCTAGACCACTAAATTTATATCTAAATCAAAAACAACTTTTATTGACCTCAATACTCAATTTAGTAGCTCACAGCAGCTTACTATATAGGAAAATGGCTTCTACACATGATCTTAATATACTTCAATTTCTTACCTTCCATTCAAAATCCAGCTGCTTCATTGCTCGGTAAACTTCAGCCATAATGTCATATGGTTTGCTCTGACTTCGGATCCCAAGATGCCACTTGGCTTTTTTCACAGCTAATGATTTGGGCTTAGTTGTATTCAGTGCATCCAATGGACATCTCGCTTTGGGGCTATCTGCTATAAGAGGTGGCATCCTTTCTGGATGGGGTTTCAGGCCTGGCGGGATATGCATGGCACTATCATCCATAAAAGAACCAGTTGGAGGACTAGAGGCGAGGTAGAACTCACTGGCTTGGTTCATTATTCTCCTATTGTCAATGATAAGATGATAAGCCACTGCAAGCTGGTCTTGAGGGTCACCACTATATAAACTGTTCATTACTTCTGATTCTGTACACTCAAATTTTTCACACACTTCTTTCACAGCTTCATCATCAATGATGTTAGCATCATAGGAGGGGTCTTCAGGAAATAAGTAACTGGGCAAATCTTGTTTAAACCATTCATGTTCTCTAGGAAAAACACCACAATATATTGTAAGAACATTCTTTGGCAATTCCCAAATAATTTAGATACGTGGCAATACAACATAATAGAATCAGAAAGACCTGGTCTCTAGTCCTAACTCTGCCACTTACTAGCTATGTCAACCTGGGCAAGGTAATTAACCCCTACCCTTGAATAACTATGGTTATTCATGCTTGGGTATTTGACTGGCATTTTCCCAAAAATGAACAAAGTGAGACTGTCACTTCAAGAAAAAAAACTAGTAATATTTGTTGTCAATGATAAAGTTTAAGCTTTCAAACAAAATTTGGAATTTCATATACTATGTATCTGCTTCCATGAGTTTGACAGCTTGCCAATATTTAAAGACTTTCTGATAAGGTTAGTGTTGTATATTAGCACCTATTAATGTTTAGTAATAAAAATAACTAAGGTAGATATTAATTTTTTTCAAAAGAAGTAACAGAGACAAAAATTATGTCACCTAACAGTTTTTAAATATCCATGACAAATACAGAAGATGAGGACTTTCAAAGTGAACTCCAAAAATTCACTCTTCCATAAAAGCAATGAGATAACTGCAAAAATTGTCAAAATAGTCTTTTTCAGAACTCTGGAAATTAATCAAAGTCTTGCAACAATCTGAGGAGGGTTTATTCAAGAAAAATGGCTGAATCTTAGTAAGAAAAGATAGATTTATGGCTTTTTAAGTTGCCCTATTTCCATCTCTCTTTCTCCAGTTCCATGGTAGCCTTGAAAACCAACAGCCACTCAAACAGGTAGCTGAGAAAACCAGCAGCAGCAGCACAATAACTACTGGGGGGAGGAGGAGTTGGAAGAGAGGAGCAGAATAAGTTTAGAGCTCCCCAAAAGTCCTATTCTAAGAAAACTGTCATTATTTGACACGCCTAGCAGTTCCCTGAAAACCCCCACCCATAAGCATTGTCTTTATTTGATCTGACTCGGAGCTTCCTCACTGCAAACAGCCTTCTCTCCAGGGCACTTGTCAAAAACAATCAACGGCAATTGTCTAACATCCCCAGCTGTCTGAAATGGCATTAAGAATTGGGTAAACAAGAAGCGGACCAAAAAACTTTTCAAAGTTAGGGAATGAGAGTTCCAAAGGGGTCTTTTTAAAGCTGTGATATATTCCTGGTTCTCAAGAAAACCAGGAACATATATGCAGGACTGTGTACATTTCCAAGGAAAAACAGAGAAGGCCCTAATTTCTCATCACTGGAAGACTTTGAGGCTCTGCACAAGCAGGAAGTGAAGGGTAAGGCAAAGTTATAAACTGCCTGTTGGAGCACTGAAAATACACCCCAACAGGCACAGAGAGCCCCTCAGCAAAGGCTGGGAGACTTATTAGATCAGGCGTTTAAGAAAATCTCTGTCTACTCATTATGTGACCATTAAGCTAATCAAGGAGAGACTTCAGTAGCCATAAAGACAAAAAATACACACTTCATTACATCAGTTTAGGAAAATCACTAAACAAACAGGAACAGCAGCAGCAACAACATACAACCATTACAAACTCTAGGTATATACCCAAGAGAAATGAAAACACATAACCTTACAAACTGTAATGCAAATGTTCATAGCAACATTTATTCATAAGAGCTAAAAAGTGGAAACAACTCAAATGTCAACTAATAAATAAACAGAATGTAGTATATCCATACAATGGAAATTTTTCAAACAAAAAGGAATGAAGTATTGATACATGCTACACTATGGAAGTATCTTGAAAACATTATGCTAAATGAAAGAAGCCAGACACAGAAGGCCACATACTCTATGATTCCATTTATATGAAATGTCTAGAATAGGCATGAAGACAAAAAGTGGATTAGTGGTTGCCAGGGGCTAAGAGGAAAACGAAATGGGGAGTGATTACTAATGGGTGTAGAAATACTTTTGGGGATGATAAAAAAAACTCTGGAATTAGATAGTGACAATGATTGTAGAACTTTATGAATATACTAAAAGCCACTGAATTATACACTTTAAAGGGAAGAATTTATGTTATGCAAATTGTATCAATAAAATAAATAAATTTTTAGAAAACAATAGGGAAATAACCTAAATTTTGATTTCTAATTCATTAACTTAGTCTTATGACTATAATTTTTACAACTAGATAACTACCAATTAAAAAAGCCATACTGCCAGCTTTTGACTCTCAGGAGTCAGTTTCTGAATTAATTCCATGAGAGTAAGCAGTAACTAGGATGTTTATGAAGGCTCAGCTGAGACAGAATCAATGCATTTCACGTTGGTCATTACACAGGCACCAGAAATTGTCTGTCACTATTACCTAACATCTGACTTTGATATATATTCAAACTTTAGGAACCTCTCAATGTACCCAAATTTCTTTAAATGTACCAGAAAGGCTTTCATATATTCACTTAAAAATAATATTCATAGCTAACATTATGTCCTAGACATTGTTCTAAAGGCATTAACTATATTAAGTTGAATATTTGCCGGGTTTTTTTCTTAATTTTATTTTGTCGATATACAATGAGGTTGAATATTGTGGCCCATTACTGATAAAATTGTGAGTAACCTTCTGATTATGTTGTGCCATTTTCTTTCTTTTTTTTCACATTTACATTTTATTTTATTATTATTTTTTTAAATTTTATTTTGTTGATATACAATAAGGTTGATTATTGTGGCCCATTACTGAAACCCTCCTCCCTCCTCCCTCTCCTCCCTCCCAGCCAACAATGTCCTTTCTGTTTGCTTGTCGTATCAACTTCAAGGAATTGTAGCTGTTAAGTCTTCTCCCCCACCCCCCGGTTTTTGTGTGTGCATGTGTGAATTTATTTATTTATTTTTAGCTCCCACCAATAAGTGAGAACATGTGGTATTTCTCTTTCTGTGCCTGACTTGTTTCACTTAATATAATTCTCTCAAGGTCCATCCATGTTGTTGCAAATGGCAGTATTTCATTTTTTTTATAGCTGAGTAGTATTCCATTGTGTAGCTATACCACGATTTCTGTATCCACTCCTCTGATGATGGACATTTGGGCTGGATCCAACTCTTGGCTATTGTAAAGAGTGCAGCGATGAACATTGGGGAACACATATACCTTCGACTTGATGATTTCCATTCCTCTGGGTATATTCCCAGCAGTGGGATAGCTGGGTCATATGGCAGATCTATCTGCAATTGTTTGAGGAACCTCCATACCATTTTCCATAGAGGCTGCACCATTTTGCAGTCCCACCAACAATGGATGAGAGTTCCTTTTTCTCC